GAGGCACACTGGTGAAGTGACTTGTCAAGTCAATGATAGGGCCAAGACTAAAAGAGACTCCACTCCGAATCCTTTGGCACCTTATTAACCTGGGGCTCCTTTGTGCTTTTCACTTTACTGATGTCTTCCACCGGATTCAATTACCAAAAAGAAAGTAAGCCTCTCAGACAATTCACTATAAACAGCAGGACTCTTTGAAGGTTGGCTCAGAGGCTTAACTGGTGTGATTGTCCCGGCATATTCCACTAAAGAATCAAAGATAAGAAAAGCCACATCTTTTTTTAAACAAGTACTTGGCGTTAAGGCCCAGGCTTGTTGTGTATGAAGTGACTGGAACATATGGATGGCTACCACAAGGCCCAGGGACCCAGTATTCACTATTCCCAACTGATTGCTGTAAAAAGTTTCTTAGCCTGCAATTTGGAAAATGACAGCTTCTTCTTAGCCAGACTGCCTTTTGCTTATTAAAATTAGGCATTCCTGCAAAAATGCCCACATTCCAATTTTTCCGAGGTCATAAATGAGCACATTATACATTTTTAAGTTTTCAGCCTCTCCTTTCAGCAAAGTGACTCCAGTGCCTAATTTTTCTAGCTATCTCACTACTGTCCTCTACAAGCTGACTGTTTTAGAAATAGAAAACATACCTATTTTCCTTCAAATCTCCAGAAAAATTTAGTTTTCTTATCCTAGAGAATGGATCCTATCTTTTTTTTTTTCCTTTTTGGTGAGGCAATTGGGGTTAAGTGACTTGCCCAGGGATCCTATCTTATTACTACCTTCGGTTATATTGCACTGAACTGTCCAAATAAACCTGACCTTAGATAAGAGAGGGCATATGTTCAACCAGCCTAACAGGGAAATACATTTTTAAAAAGGTCAGCAGGTATGCACACATGATCTGCTATTGTACAACTTTTCATCTCAGCTGGTTGGAGGGGTAGGGGGGGAGGGAAAGTCTTGTTTCATGTTCAGGTTTTGGAACATGGCTGGCAGCCCAAGCAGGTAGACCAAGTTTCCAAATGAGCAACAGCCACTTTTAGCTGCCTGTATCTCATATGGCTCAAAGGAAATCTGATAAGTTACAGTTGGAGTTTTGGCAGGTGGAAACACACTATATACCCCGGAATAGTCAGAAGCTGAACAAAACCCTGGGCGGCTATGGACCAGTGGTTCACCACCGGTATCTCAATGAAGAAAGCATTTCTCCACAGGGACAGATGGTGCTCACTACGGCCCATTTCTGGTCCCTGCCTCTGCCACTCATGAATCTTATTTCTAACCTTGCTGTTCCCATCAACAATTCAGCCAAAACCAAAGTTCTCTTGCCCAACCAACGGTCTCCAAGACTACATCCAAAGCCCATTTCTTCTCTGTCTTTGCAACTCCTCCAGATTGTGGCAGAACTTTCATTTCATATGTTTAACATGATTATACACGTAGAGCTTGCTGTCTTGGGGACGGGAGAGAGAGGAGAAAAAAATTTGGAATTCAAAATCTTAATAAAAGTGAATGTTGAAAATGAAACTAATTAATTAAAAAAAACCCCTTTTATTTCCTTGAGTCTCCTCCGGTACAATGTGCTTGGGAAATTTATTTCCTCCTTGAGCACTTGCCTCACTCAAAGGACACGAACCAGCATTTGTGTCCTACACCCCAAACTAGTAACCTTGGGCCAAATCCATCATGCCACCTACAATCACGACGAAGCCTCACGCGGTGTTTTTCAGATTGACAAATCAATTTACATCCATTTCCTCATTTGATCTTCACAACATCCCTATAATAGGGAAACTGAGGCCGAGAGGTTAACACTCCAGGTCCAGGGTCTGAGAGGCCAAACACCAACTCCCGTCTCCGGGAGCGCTGCCCCCTCCCACCACTCCAGCCCAGCCTCCGCAAGCGGCCCTCGCACCCCCCCTCCCCCTCCCCCCTCCCTCCCCGCCAGGCCTTTGTCCCTTCCTGCCCACACCCCTCCCCTCCCGCCCCAGGCCGCAGCTTTCTCCTGCGGCCCCGCCCCCTCCCCACCGGCTCTCCTTTCGCCAGGACCCGGAGGGCGCAGGCCCCGCGACGGGCAGCCCCTCCTCCCGCTAACTCACAATCCGCCCTGCCCCCACTCAGCAGTCCCCGACACTCCCCCCACCTCCCTCACCCTGCAGGTCGGCCGGTTCATTGGCGCCGCTGGTGCTGGCTGGGCTGTCGTCGAAGCCCCAGGCCGCCCCGGCCAGGAGCAGGGCCCCCAGCAGGGTAAGCAGGGTCTGGAAATGCGGCAGTCCCCGCCGTAGCTGCTGCCCCATCCTGGGCCCGGCTCGGACCGCCCCGCGGGAGCCGCCGCCGCCGACCGTTGGGGGGGAGGGGATGGGGAAGAGGAGCTCGCGCCGCCGCCGCCGCCGCCGCCGCAGCAGCTGATTGGACGGTCTGCGCGGCTCGCGCACAGGTGGGGGTGGGGGCGAGGACGGTTCGGTTGGAGAGGCTCGCGCCGCTGTCGATTCGACGGTGTTCGAGGGTCGCGTTTAGGTGTGGGCGGGGGAGGCTCGGTGAGAGGGGCTCGAGTAGCCCGCGGCCGTTGGCTAAAGCTGGGCGTAGCGCGGGCAGCCGACGGCGTCGCTTTCGCTGTGCGCAGGCGCGCGCTCGCTCTCACCCCCGTACCCGACGAGTTCGTTTCTCTTAGCCCCCGGGAACCGTCCGGCTGCTGCGCGCACCCCCCAGCTTCTGAGCCCCAGCGCGCAAGTCGCCGCCGAACGGAGGTGCTGGAGGGCGGAGGAAAAGGCGGGGCCGCACGCACCTAGGCCAGGGCGGAGGCGCCGCGCATGCGCGCGCCGCTAACCTCGGAGCCCTTCGCACCTGAACACTGCCCTTTCCTCCTTTCCCCCTTCCTCCGTGAGGAAGAAAGGGCGGGGCCACTTGCACCTGGTTGAGGGCGTAGGCCCTGCGCATGCGTACGCCGTTAACCACGGCGCCCTGCGCACCTGGACGCCGCTAGTAATGCTCTTGCTTCTCCTCTCTCTTCCCTGGGTGGGGAAAAAAGGCAGAGACGTGGTACATACACCTTGGCGCAGGCGCAGACGTACCCTGCCCGCTCCTCCCCCCTCCGCCCACACCTGCAGTGCTCTCCCTCCCTCCTCCTACCCCTCCTCCTCCCTCGCGGTACCTGAGCCGCCTTCAGGGGAGTGTCACGGCTCGGGCTCTGAGGGGCAGGGCACTCTGAGACCCCGCCCGAGGATTCCCCACTCCCATTGACGGTTGTTGGGGGGAATCCCCAATAAGCTTTGCCTCTCCTTGCAGTCCCCCCAACTTCGGAGCCCCTCAACTGTCAGGGGATCCTAGTCTTAGGAAGGGATCACGGAGAGAGGGGACCAGACTGTCCTTGTCTCCACTTTTACAGGCTAAACTTGGTGTTTGTGGACCAAGAGAATTTGAAGGCCCCTCCCCTCTTTACCTCCTGGCTTTCGATGCTGTAGCTGCGTGTTAGAAGGACTTAGAATTTAGCAGCGTCTGCTTGTAGGGGGCGCTTAATGAATGCTTCTTGAATGTGTAATGGATATCTTATTGCTTGCCTTTTAAGGGGGTGGGGGAGGGGCGGGCGGCAGGGGGAGAATTTGGAACTCAAAATTTTTTAAATTTGATGTTAAAATTTTTAGTGTAATCGGGAGATATTTAACGAAATAAATACATTAAAAAATAATTGCTTGTTGACCAACTGACTAGACCTCTAATTTCATCAGTATAGGAAACTTCCAAGTGAGGAAACTCCCTTCTTCCAATGCAAATCAACACCTTTTATGCAAGTTTTCGTCTTAGGGAGTTGTCCCTAGAGCACTGAGGAATGGAGTGCCTTGCTAGAGTTACCCGGCTACTTCTCAGGGGCTTCAAGAGGAAGCCCTCTCTTCACTAGAGCCCTGTGCCTAGTGAGAGGGGAACTGTGAATTGTGGAAGTGAAAGACATAGGTTCTGATCCTGGCTAAGTTATTTCTTCGCTATGTGATCCTGGGCAAGGAACTTCTCTCCAGTACTCATCTTCAGATATCCCTTCTGTGAAATGGAACTAATGCTGCCCGTCTCCCTCGAAGAGTTGTTGCCAATAGGGTACTTTAATACGTCAGTCTTACTGAACCGACAAACATTTACAAGTGTCCCAAAAGTCTTAAAGTTTTAAAAAGTTTTAGGCCGTGGCTTAAACCTTTCCCTAAGACTTTTGGGACGCCCTGTGTTAAGAATACCAAGCACCAAAACCAAGAGTGAGACATTCCTTACCTTCAAGGAGCTGACATTTTAGAAGGAAAAGGGCCACCATACATCCAATTGGTAAGTGCCCGTTATATATAATAGGGGGAGGGTAGCAGAGGAATCAGGAAAGGCTGAGGGGAGCCCTAGTGAACCTTCTGCCATAAATCGAGAAGGGGCAGGGGCGGGGGCGGGAGCAGGGTGTTTTAGGTCTTTCGACGCAGAGTGGATAAAGCAAGATGTCAACTATTATTTCTCTGCCTGGAGGCGGAGGACCTAATAGCTTCCACCTACTCTGCGGATCATCCACCAGAGGTCAGGGAAACCCCACCGCAGATAGGTCAACCCCGCCCCCGTAGGGCCTCGCCCATCTGGAAACAGCTGGCTCCAGCTGTGTTTAGAGCATCCGGAGAACAAACAGCTCCCGCACCCCCAATTCTCCAGGTGGAGCGCCAAACTACAGAGTGGGGTGAGATAGGGATCGGTCACTGGGCCCCCCTATAACCACTGAGGAAGAGGGGTAGGTTGGTTGCTCGGGTAGCCTTGGTCCGCAGTGAGGGCTGAGAAGAGTCCGGAGAGGGCCATGAAAGGGGGTGGTGGGCGGGAGAGAGAACAGGGCTGGGAGGTGGGGGCGGGTCCTCGGGATCCTGGGTCCCGCTCCAGGCTCCTTCTGCCATCTCCACCCCCTCCTTCCAGGCCCCGCCCCCTTCCTCTCGCCCTCCCCCCTCCCCTTTTAAGACTGGCCAGTTGCTGCTTCTCTTGTCTGTCATCCCTAGGGGGGCCGCCGCAGGGGATGGCTGCTCAGAGGCTCGGCAAGCGGGTCCTGAGCAAGCTGAAGTCACCCTCCCGGGCCAGGGGCAGTCCTGGTGGTAGCCCTGGAGGCCTGCAGAAGCGACATGCGCGAGTCACTGTCAAGTACGACCGGCGGGAGCTGCAGCGTCGTCTGGACGTGGAGAAATGGATCGACGGGTGTCTGGAGAAGCTGTACCAGGGCCGGGTGAGGCCAGAGCCCCGGGGAGGGATGGGGAGAAGGATGCAGGACACCCTAAGCCTGGGGAAGCCGTCGTTTGCATCTGCTTTCCGGCTCTTAGTGCCTTACAATGTTAGAATGCACGAGTCCCTGAATCTTCGAAGGGCTGAACTGCAAAGGACCTTAGAGAATATGTAGCAGAACTCCTCCCCTATCCCCCAATTTGGCAGATGGGAAACTAAGGCTTAGAGAAGCTAAACTTGTCTCAAAAACCAAAGTGGTTGCCTTTACCTCCTCACTGTCTATTCCTGTCTGTCTCCCTCCGCTGTCCTCCCGGAACCAACCTCCCTCCATTTTGCTTCTGCCTTTGCCCAGGTCCTCGCTAGGGCCTAGCCTACCCCCCTGCCTCCCTTTTCCTCTCCATAACTACTCCACCATCCATCCCCCTTTCTAATGACCCTACCCCTATGACACTGCAGTGTGACAAGGACCAGGGGAAAACCAACAGGATAGACCAGAAATAATATGGATAAACCTTACGTATAGGCAGGTATACACATAGCCTGTGAAAGTGTTAATGGTGTCAATGTGGGCACTGGGTGACACACACAGACATATGCAAGTAATAGACACTTCTGGAGACACACACACACACACACTCAAAAATACCCTCACAGAAAGAAGTAGGTATATACTAACAGAGTAATACACCCAAAGGCACAAGAAGATACATACGTACGCAGGGGAATAGGCATGACCATGAAAGGACCCATGAACCATCACAAGGACAGCACAGTTTTTCCCCCATCCCTAGACATACTAGACACTACAGCCTTCTTTGTGGTCCTGGGCCAACCTCATAAGCCAGCAGGAACCTATGTAAACAACACTTCTTTCCGCCTGGAGCAGAAAGAGAATGTTTGGTGTTTGGGAGAAGGGCTGGAAGATTTCCAGGAACCAGAGTTCCTGATCTCCCAGTCTGATCCAGCCTACCCCCCCATGCCATGGGGATTGGAGGGGTGGGGAAGGTAGAACCAGGAGACAGCTGATTCTCCCCACCCTGCCACTGACAGCTCCAAGGCAGGCATATGCTAGCCTCCCCCTGCTTCCCCCTACCTCCTGTCTCCCTTCCCTGGGGCACAGCTGGGCCCTGTCCCTGGAGACTGGCAGGAAGCCAGACAAGAGACTGGGCAGATAGCCCACACCCTAGTGCTAAGAACTGCCAGGTGCCCCCCAATCCTACTCTCCACCCAGTAGGGTGATCAGAAACAGCAGGGACCTCTCCTGGGGACACACAGCTTCATCTTGGGGTGGCAGAGGAGTCCGCAAATGACTTTGGGTCCCCTCTTGAATTCTTAGGCTGAATGCCCTCTCTTCTGTTCTCACTCCCAGAGTCCCCAGAGAACCTAGGCATCCTGGAGCTGGGATCCACAAAAACAGCTCCAGTTCCATTCCATTCTCCCCTCCCCCGCCTCCCTCCTTTCTCCCTAGCTCAGACTTTTCCATGAAAGGGCAGAGTCAGGGGCCTCTGGCTGGGGACCCAGGAGACTTATCTCTCCCCACCCCCACCCCCAACCTCAAATCCATGCCCCTGGCATTCCCAGGCAGGACTGAGCCTGCTTCCTGGCTGGCTCTGGGATTCTAACTTGGACACTAGATTCCTCTGCCCCCCCCATTTGCCCTGAGGACCCCTCTTTGTCTCCCCCCATTTGTTGTTGGAAGTTCCTAAAATGGTCTGGGACTTAATCTGTAGCCTCTTCCCCTATCCCCTTCTAGGATACATAGGATCAGAGGAACAGATGTGAAGAGGGTGCCTTAGATTTGGCAATATTCTCCAAGTCCTCCTAGACTCACCTAGAAGGAGCCAGAGGTGTTCGCAGAGCTAGGTACCTGGGGAGCTTTCCCACTAGGAAGGCCAGATTTCTGAAGTGAAGGCCTCTCAAAACTAGAAAGGAATCCAAAAAGCATAGGAAGGCCTCAGTGGCAATGGGAGGGACAGTATTGTATGTGTTTGGGGGGGGGGGTTGGTGCCTTCCCTCAGTGCTTGACCCAGATGGTCATGCCTGGTGGTACCATCTCTGCATGGCACATGCCCCTGCCTGGAGTGAGCCCTAGTCAGCTGGTCATCCTCACCACCCCAAGAAGGAGCTCTGGCATTCCCTGGGTCCCAGAGGGACAAGAAGTGGAAGAGTTTTTGGGGGGGAAGAAAAGGAAGAGAAAGACGAGAGACTTGGGGGGTCCGCAAACCCTAACTGACCCCTGACCTCCTTGCAGGAGGAAGAGATGCCTGATGAAGTCAACATTGATGAGTTATTGGAACTCGAGAGTGAAGAGGAGAGAGGCAGGAAAATTCAGGTGTGTGTCTCTGCCCTTTAGACTGGAAGCTCCTTGAGGGCAGGGGCTGTCTTTTGCCTCTTTTTGTATCCCTGGTGCTTAGCACAGTGCCTGGCACATAGTAGGCATTTACTAAATATTTATTGACTGAGTGGTTGATTACATAGGGAACGAGAAATGGAAAGGGGGCTTTAGGGTCTTGGGGGATGATGAGAGAAAAAGAGAGAGACCCCTGGGAATAGGACAAAGGAAGGACAATAATGGCTAGATAACTCTGGGGCTGTCCCTGTCGGTTTTTACCCCCACACTTGGGCAGAAGCAGTAGATTTTCTGCCTCTACTTTCACTCTTGCTTTGGAAATCAGCATGAAAAACTTCTGTTCCCATTTCTCTGAGGCCCTACCATCATGATGGGAATTGGGGGTACAGAGGAATTGTATTGTGGGGAGAGATTGATTTGTGTATTTCATGTATTTTTTTGGGGGGGGGGGTTCCAGGGAATCTTGAAGTCTTGCAGAAACCCCACAGAGGTAAGTCCTGCTCCTTGTTCTTGGGTCAAGAGAAGGCAGGAGAGGTGGGGAAATGAATATCACCTCCATTCACAGGCCTGCCTGCCTCCCCAAGCTTTATCCAGGTTCTCTCCTTTCCCTTTATCCCCTAGTCCTGCTCTTCTGCCTCTCCAGCCCTGTCCTCTCCTCTTCCCCATCCCTTTTCCTCTCTCTCTCTCTCTCTCTCCCAGACCTCTCTCGCACCCCACCCCCTTTCCCACAGCCCATCAATCACTGGAGGGTAGGAGGTTGGAGGTGGGGGTGGGGTTAGTTTTTCCTCTTACTTCCTTCCTCCCTCACCTCCCCCTTTCATCCAGGATTTTGCCAAGGAGCTGGTCCTGAAACTTCGGGGGCTTCACAAACAGCCAGGCCTTCCCCGGGGCAGTCCTTCAGATGACTCCGATGGGGGTGGCATAAGCCCAGTCCAGGATCAAGCCAGGAGAGCCCCTCGCTGACCAACCCCTCTCCCTTTGAGGCCCTGGAGAGATGCCATATTCCTGTCTCTACGTTCCCCACATCCTTCTGCCTGGGACTATGTTTATAAATTGTATTTTATGTTGTTTTAAAAAGAAAAGTGTGTTTGTGGTTCAGCCATTGACTCCCCTGAGGTTATTTTATCTTTCCCTCAATTCTCTCTCTCTTGATGCTTTTTTCCCTGCCAGCCCTTCCACCCAGCTGTCCCTAGACTAATGGGGACAGATGGAAGATCAATTGAGCCCCTACGCCCAGGAGAAGGGAGTATGAGAACGGAGCACAGCTGGGCTCCCTGGGGACCCCGGGCTCCCTACCTCCTGGCTCCTGACCTAAGCCCCATCTCTGTCTTCCTGGTCAGTCTCCTCCTCTTTTCCCTTCTTGAAGGATGGTGCATCAATTTATTCTAGAATCCTAGGACTAAGAGTTGGAAAGGCTTCTGAGGGTCTTCCAGTCCAACTTTCTCATGTATTAATTGCTAAGGAAACCGAGGCCTAGAGAAGGGAAAGGACGTGTTTCCGCTTTCTGTCCCCAGGGTCAGATAGCAGGGACCCAGCAGAAGGCTGTGGTCAAAACTGGAGAGCTGGAGCAAGGTGGGGGTGGGAGGAAAGCACAACAGGGGAAGAGAGCAAGCCCGCCTGGGCATGGCTCCCCCAGTGGGGGGATGAAGAATAACAGCCCACAGATGGAGCTACTGCCCAATGGGGCAGCCACCATCAGAAGCTCTCTGTGCTACATCTGAATGAATGCACAAGAGCCATTCTCAAATTCAGGAGAAAGTCCAGGCTGGACTGGTTATCAGACTGGAGGAGAATCACCAGGAATGGAGGTGGGGTTGGAGGGTGGGTCAGAGAAAGTAAATAGGCAACTGGGTATAGGAGACACTGTGTGGGAAATAAGAGGGCATAGGAGCCTGGATCATAGAACCTAGAAATGAAAGAGACCTCAGAGGTCCAGCATATGTTCCCCCACCTTCTTCCTATCTAGCACACCTCCCCCCTCCCCCTTCATTTTTTAGAGAGGAGGAAACTGAGGCCTAGGGAAATGAAGTGACTTGCCCAGGGTCCCACAAATAATACATTTCAGAGGTGGGATGTGAATCCAGGTGTACTGCACTGTAAGAGAGGCTCCTGAAGTTGTAGGGGAAGGAAAGAGGGAAGAAATGAGGAAGAGGGGCCAGACTCCCAACTAAGGTAAATGGTAACCTTAAGGAAGTCGGCAACTGAAGGAGGAGCTATGATAGGAGACGTGTGAAGGCTGGGACCTAGGGGGTCAGAAGGGTCATTGAGAGAAGTGGGAAGTGATTTGGTTGGGGGGAGGAAGAAGAGGCTGGGTAGTTGGGGGGGGATAAGGATGTGGGAAAGAGGGACTAGGAGGGATATAGTGGTGATGGTAGGATAGGGTGCTAAGGACTACAGGGACCAGTGGAAGCCACCAATGATGAGGCTGGGGACAGGGATGGAGAGGAGACTGAGGTTGTAGAATGGGGGAATAGGGGTTGGGGGCAGGGGAGATGAGGTCCGAGGGATCAGGGTTTGGGGTTGGGAGGGAGACCACAGAAAGGGATAAATACCCAGAAGAAGCTTGGGGACTGTGGTGCCAGGGTATAAGCTATCCAATGGGGAGGGGAATAGAAGGCAGGGATGAATGAAGGGCAGCAAGAACAGGGAAGAGGTTGGGAACGAGGGCTGGTGACCTAGGGATAGCAGTGCTTGGAGCATGGGAGACATCATCAATAGAAAGTGATAGAGGGAAGCTATGGGGAGGTCAGGGACAGGGAAGAAAGAGGGTAGGGAAGGAAGCACACTGGCCCTGGTATCAGAGGACCTGGGTTCAAATCTGAATTTTGCTACTTACTAGCTGGGTGACCATGGGCAAAACATTTCATCTATCTAGGCCTCAGTTTCCTTATATGTAAAATGAAATTGCTAGATTAGATGTCCTTTGATGTCCTTCCCAGTTCTAGATCTATGCTCCTATAATCCTATAATTTGGGGGCTAGAGCTGATCGGTGGAGACAGGGCAGGAAGTGGAAAATAGTGGCCAAATTTGGGGTGGCTGGAATAGAGATGAAATCAGAGGGGTAAAAGACCCGGGAGGTTTAGAGGTATGGGAGAAAGTGATGGGAAATGCCCAATGGGAGGCAGGGTTGGGAGTAGGGAGGAACCCATGACCTGGAGGGGTGATGCCAATGTGTGGGTAAGAGTTGCAGCAGGAGGTTGGGGAGTTAGGGGGAAGGAAAAGAGGACAGCCAATAAGGCCGCTTGCTCCTTGGATCATTAGACCTACCTCACCACCTGTGAGTTTCAGGAAATGAGGGAGATGAGGAAATTGATGGTGGTAAGGGTGGGGATGACTACAGCCTTGACTCAGTAGCTGGGGATGGATGTCCTCAAATCTCTCCGTCTGCACCCACACCCTTATTGTCTTACAGCTCTTTAGCCTCTCCCTTCCAGCTCCTTACTCCTTTCAGCCCCAGCCCCAGCCCCCAAGAGACATGGGAAGTAGACAGGGACAGACAGATGACTCAGGGCTCTCTGCCAACCTCTTTTCCTTCTTCCCAGTGAACTTTCTACAAGAGCCAAGAAGTCTGCTCCAGTTAGGGGTGGGAGGCAGGGAGGAGATCTGGGATTGTCTTGGGGCTTAGGGGCCTCTTCCTGATGTAGATAAAGAGACCAGGCCCCAGGGGTAGAAGTATTGCCATCCCAGTCCTCAGTCCTCAAGTTCCCCCCCCCACACCCTGCCCCTCAAGTTTCCACAAGGACTTTGAAATTTCTATAGCATTCCAGACATAACAGCCCTGTGAGGCAAGAAGAGTGCATATCATTCCAATTGAACAGAAGAGGAAACTGAGGTGGGGAGAAAGTGAAATGACCTGTCCAAGGTCACAGAACTAAAAAAATCAGATGCGAGATTGGAACTAGCCCTGCCTCCCAACCAATGATGTTTCAACCACACCCACAAATAACAATATCTAAGAGTTGGAAGAATAGGTCCTCACCACTCCTCATCCATTTACAACAGTAACCAAGAGCCAGCCAGCAGCTCCTCCCCCACCTCAAACAGGAAGCTGACTCCCACTCAGGGAAGTTCTCCCAAGAGCAGACGGAGGCCCACACCACTCCCCAGCCCCCAACTTAGGAACTGGTGTCGAGTTCTCTTGTGACCTCCCAGATTTCCCTCCCCTCCCTCCCTGTACCCTTGAGTGTTCCAAGCACCCGATAGGCAGTGTTGTCCCTGGGCACATCCCCATGGAAAGCAAGCTCAGACTCCCCCTTGTGGCCTCGTTGGCACTGGGAACGCTGTTGGACAGCCCCAGTCTTCCAAGATTTCTTGGCCAGGTGTACCCTGGATTCTTGTATCCTCCCCACCCCAACTCCACCAGAGCCTCACTTGTGTAAGGCATTTTTAGGGAAGCCCATGTGACCCTACTTCTTATAGACTCGGGGGGGGGGGGGGCGGGAAACTATTGCTTTAGGGGATGGGTTTCCCCCACTTGGCCTGGAGATAGGATAAAGAAAAGGCCTGGGGCAAGCCTCACCTTCTCTAGTATTCCGATAGAATAAACAAAAACTGAGGTCCTGAGAGGAGAAACTGATTCAAGGTTAGACGTCAGTCAGGAGCCACAGGCAGAGCCCTCACTGGGCTGGTTCTCCTGGTTCCACAAGAGACCACTGGGAGGTGCCAAGTTGGGAGAACTGAGGCCTCTTCCTGGTATGACTGGTTTGCTCCCTGGAAAGGAGTTCATGATGGGAAACCCTATCATGCAATCTGCCTAGGGCAAAGGACGTGGTTAGATAATCAATGGGTCAAAAGCCCAGACAGGACTGTCAATTCCCTAAGAACAGGGTGCCCCATGAATCAATGAGCTGGTGGTTGGAGGGCTGCAAGCAAAGGCTAGGTGACTAGCATGGTATAGAGCACTGGACTGGGAATCAGGAGGGCCGGGTTTGAATCCTGCAGATAGACAGGGATTTAATAGTCATTTAATCTCAGCCTCTGTTTCTCATCTGTAAAATGGGGATAATAACCCATAAAAGGGTGGTCTAGCTGATTTCTGAGGCCCCCTCCAGCTTGAAGGCCCACAACCCTAGTTAGGAAGGTTCTGAAGTGAACTCTGTCAGTGGTAGGGAGATCAGGCTAGCTGTCCCCTGTTCCTTGAGGTTTGTACTTCCTCCACCCAACATTCAAGCAGTGAGTTTCAGTGTCACTCCCAAGAAAATGAGACTTGGTCTTGAAGGGCCTTATAGCCTACTTGTAGAGATGGACTATTTCTGGGCCAAGTACGCCTCGAGGGCACAGGTTTCCCACCCCTGCTGTATCCCATTTACTGCTCAACATTCAAAGCCCAATTTGTAAAACACACACACACTTCTTTTAAGATTTGATTTGATTTGATTTGATTTTCAGTTCCAAATTCTTTCTCCCTCACCCATTAAAAAGGCAAAACCAAAACATTACAAAAATACAGGTATATCTCATTGTATTTTGCTCTTTTCTTTATTACACTTGGCAGATACTGTGTTTTTTATGAACTGAAGGTTTGTGACAACCTTATTCCAAGCAAGTCTATTGGTACCATTTTTCAAATGGCATGTGCTCACATCACGTCTCTGTGTCACATTTGGGTAATTCTCACAATCTTTCAAAATTTTTCATTATTATTCTATATGTTATGGTGATCTGTAATCAATGAACTTTGATATTACTATTGTAATTATGTTGGGGACCCGTGAACCATTCCCACATGAGAAGGGGATTTTAATTGATAAATGTCTGTTCTGACTACTCTGACCAGCCATTCCCTCATTTTTCACTGTTCTCCTCAGGTCTCCCTATTCCCTGATATTGAAATTAGGCCAATTGATAATGCTTCCATGGCCTCTAAGCATTGACATGAAAGGAAGAATCAACTGATTTGGCAAACTTCATCACTACCTTATTTTAAGAAATCACCATAGCCATTCCAGCCTTTAGCACCTACCACCCTGATCAGTCAGTCAGCAGACATCACCATCAAGGCAAGACCTTCCACCAGCAAAAATGATTAGCATTTTTTTTAGCAATAAAATAGTTTTAAATTAAAGTATGTACATTATTTTTTTAAACATAATACTAT